CAATCCCCAAAATCGCTCAATTCCCCCCCAATAAAACTAGGAAACGTATATGTGGTATAAAAAGGCCACAGCTTTATTTATAAATTAACAAACAACTGTAAATAAACCAACCATAAATAATTTAGGTGTAAGTATGCTTATCTTCAAACTAGTCCTTGCCAACCGTACCACCAAAACTCTAGGGTACACCCCCCACCAAGGCATCGGCCCTCCCCCCTCGTCCAAGATACCTGGCCTTCACTTTGGCCTTCAAACTCCACATGCCAACCCCTGGCCACCTTTCCTGGCACGGAGGGCACGCCCAAATACCCAAAACATTTTCGAGGTCAGGGGAGGGACCCGACCCAGCATCTTTCTTTTTCTTTCCTCCTCTCCCCAATAGGTTCGGCAAGGACCATACCCGCCACTAGCCCCAGCTGCATTTACGCCTAAATCAGCGGGCGCGACCCCCAAGCAACGCCATGGCCTGTTCCAACGCGTCCTGTAGCGCTAAATTAAATAAGTCCAAGCCTACGTCAGTTAGATGGACCCCGTCCGGGCGAAAATAGATTGCTGCCTCGCGCTCAAAAATACGGTGTCGCACTGTTAAGCCCCCGACGCCTAGGACAAATTTGGAAACCCGCTTATTAATCTTGACCCTGCAGCGCTCAATAGCACCCTGATCGCGTGCGCACTTCCAATAGTTCCTAGAAACGATATCTGACCATATTAAACAAAGTCGTGGAAAAAGCACACGCAAGAGCGCCAAATCTCGCCTGATGAGTTCCCCCAGCCCCCACGCAGGCAGGGACCCCAGATCGTTCCCCCCCAGATGCACCACCAAGATGTCCGGGGCTCCTAATAAAGTGGATAACTGCACGACCTCCGGTAATAGCTGACCCCATCTCATGCCCCGGAACCCGAACCACCGGACCTCCGCCAGCTCCCGAGGTATTCCGAGCAGTGTCCCACCCGGGCGTACCCCAGCCCGCAGGTGAGCCCAGTAGATGTACGAATGACCGATCAACCAGATCCGTCGGCCAGGCCCTGTGGAGAAAACACAAGGGGGACACCGATCAAACGTGTGGGCCATACATAAGACCGAAACCTCCCCGATTCCCATCTGCCAATCCTCTGAATGGCCTGGTCCGAAAAACCTAAACGGGAGGCTTCAGTTGCGGCCCCAATTCGAAAAGAATGTCCCCCAAAGTCTGCACTCGAAATACCCAGTTGGTCGAGTGCCAACCGAAAGACCCGAAGAAATTGGAACCGAGAAAGGAAGGAACCGTCCCCATGAATTAGTAGAGGGCCCTCAATGTCCGGGCGACCAAGACAATAAGACTGAAAAGATGCGACAGGGCAGACAGCCGAACCCGGAATAGCGCGGAGGGTAACCCATGCCCCTTTGCCGAAGATGTCGGTTTTGGACCTTCGTACCAAAAAACGCACTAAATCCGACACCACCGACACATCGTTGAACAACAAGCCCCCCGGGATCCGTTTGCTAGGGCTCACAAGCTCACCGATTCGAAGGGCGCCGAAAAAGGCGAAAGTAAAAGCCAACTGGAACAAACGTGCCTCCGAATCTGAAAAACAAACCCTGGGTAAGACCGACGCAATGCCTACTAGCAGAGCGCCAGAAACCGGCCTCCGAGAATCCCGCAGGTGTGGGCCCTTGCGCCAGCCGCGCATCGCAAGCCGAACCATGCAGTCCTTGGTAACGTCGGGCACCTTAGTCAAGTTGAACCAGAAACTAAGACCGGATAGCTTCCCTGAAACCGTAGCCGGAGAACACCCGCTAGCCTCCCAGAACCAGAGCAACCGTAAGATCCCCTGAACCCTTGCAGAGGTCGAATCAAACCCACCTAGGTCTTGTTCCAGAGCAACCCAGTCCCCCCATGCCTTACCGTACCGAACCCAAGTTGCCTCAGACACCGAAGACCGAATCCATTCCCTTATCCGCTCAGGCCAAGGGACCTTAAGTCTCTGGGACAGGGGAGGCCTTCCGTGTCCGCTTCCGGCGCGGCCAAACGAAACACCTGCCAGTGGAAACGAGAAAGAGCATCAGCCGTGGTATTCTCCACACCAGGGATATGCACAGCGCGGCAAGTCACATTAAAAGACAGGCATTGTAAAACCAAGCGCCGCAAGAGCCGAACTACCGGAGGGGAGGAGGCCGTTAGCCTATTAATGGCCTGGACGACGCCCAGGTTGTCACAGTGGAACACAACACGCCTGTTCTTGATCTCTGGCCCCCAAAGATGGATAGCCACCACAATGGGGAAGAGTTCCAAGAAAGCCATGTTCTTGGTCAGGCCAGAGGTGAACCACGATTCAGGCCAAGGCTCCGCACACCATTGCCTTCACATAATAGCCCCAAAGCCCGAAGACCCCGCGGCATCCGTAAACAGGTGCAGCACCGAGTTCGTCACCTCGGGCTGCTGCCAGTAGGACCTGCCGTTGTACCCATCCAAAAAGACTGCCCATACTGCCAAGTCCTCCCTGAGCGCCTTGGTCAAGCGGACGAAGTGAGACGGTTTCAAAATCCCAGCCGTAGCGGCCGCCAGGCGCCAGTTGAACACCCTGCCCATCGGCATAATCCGACAGGCAAAGTTCAATTTGCCCAATAGGGATTGAAGTCGTTGCAACGTAATCTTCCGCAAAGCGGTCGCCACTCGCACCACCTCCCGAAGATCAGCCAATTTATCCAATGGAAGCCGACATTCACCAACAACGGAATCAATCTCGATTCCCGAGAAAGCACAGGCACGTAAAAGGGCCAATTGTTTTGTCTGGTGCCAGCGGCACTCCGAACTCGCAAGCAACATCCGCTACTGCTTGCAGGAGTTGCGCGCATGTCGGGGAGCGCGCAGGGCCAACACAGAAAAAGTCGTCTAGGTAGTGAAGCAAGGAATCGTAACCGGATTCTGCTCTAACTACCCATTCCATGAAGGAACTAAAACATTCGAAATAAAAACAGGATATCGCCCAACCCATCGGGAGGCACATGTCCACGTAATAATGACCTTCGAATATACAACCCAGGAGGTGGTGGCACTCCGGGTGAACCGGTAGGAGGCGAAAAGCTGACTCAATGTCAGTTTTTGCCATAAGTGCCCCGGGGCCAGCAGCCCTGACCATATCCACCGCCGCGTCAAAGGACGCGTAGGAAACGCGGCACAATTCAGCTGCAATGTCATCATTCACCGAGCCCCCCTGTGGGTGCGATAAATGGTGAATCAGCCTAAACTTGCCTGGTTCCCTTTTGGGCACCACTCCCAGTGGTGAAACCCTCAAATCGAGAAGTGGAGGTTCCCGAAAGGGGCCCGCCATGCGACCCAACGCTACTTCCTTAGCCAATTTTTCCCTTACCACCCCCGGGTGATCGGCAACTGATCTCAGGTTCCGGCAGAAGCCGGAGACCTGCCGGGCCCGGTGAGGGATCCAAAACCCTTTCCCAAAACCCTCCAATAACAAGGCAGCCGCCTTCTTATTGCTATAACGCTTTAGCCAAGGGCGCATCGCGTCTACGTCCACTGGTGTCCTCGCCCTTAGCGCCCATGGCATCTCCTTTGTCGCCGGTCTTGCCTCGTTTAAAGCATTTTGATGCTGGGTGGGAACCGCCGCACCCGGAACATTCATGCTTGAAGCGGTAGGCTGAACCGAACTTACATTGGCCGTCATTATATTGCCAACAGAACCCAGTCTTCCGCTGAGTGGCCGACGCTGAAGATGAGGACCCAGCGCCGGCCCCCCCAAGAAAGGACGAGAGGCCCCTTGATGCGAAGCTGGGCGGGTCATGATGGCCAACCACAAGCCGATGTCCATTTGATCCCAACTCGTGGAAGGGCGAACCGCCAAACGCTGGCGGAACTGTTCATCATACTGCCACCACCCTAGCCCGCCATAAACCCGACAAGCGTTCCATATCATATCCTGGTAGCAAAACAGGGAAGAGCATTTACTGGGAGTCTTTTCACCTATCACGCTAGCCAGGATAGAAAAGGCCCTAATCCAGTTACCAAAAGTTTTCGGAATTTTCCGATACCGAAACTTCTCTTTGTCTTTTTCAGACTCTTTAGCATCCGGGTCCACCCGAGGAAGATCTTCCAAAGGGAGGAGGGAAAAGATTTCAACAAATTCCCCTTTTTCTATTTTAGCCCTCAAATCTGGCGTCAGGTGGAGGCCCAGGGGGCCTGACCAGCACATGTACGCTGCCCCATGCGCAGCGGGTGCTACCCCTAAACCCGAGACAACCGCGGTCTCCCCCGTAACACTCACAGAGGACTCAGATGTCACTAGCCGTGGCGCCGAGGCCAGGGGGGGTGGCGACCTGTGTAGAAGTGTCGGGTACCGACGCTGCAACCCCAGCAAGATCACATCCTGCGGAACTAGCCCAGCCCGCCCGAAGCTGGCTATCCACGGCCATTGGGGGAGGAGCCCCAGGGCGAGATCCCCGTTCCAGAGTTACAAGAACATTCTTTATAGCTTGGAGCACCGAACCCCACTCTTGTGACTCGCGTGCGCCAGCGCCCCCGGAATCTAATCCAGCGAAAGCAGAATACTCACCGGCAGGAGCCGAATTCGAGGGTAGCAACGGAACCGCGACTTGCGCACCAGCCTGCGACGGCCCCGAGGGAACTGCGACCGCAGGAAGCACCGCACCAGACACAGCGTCAGGGAACCGGTTCGCGAGCTGACCTGGAAGAATCTGTGAAGACAGGACAGGTGAGAAAAAACCCTGCCCACCCATCCCAGGTGCTAGAGGATGCACAGTAGGGGGGAGCAACCCTGGCATATTAGTAGATGGGACAGGGGAACCAGAGAGTGGGACCGGGGAACCAGAGGGTGGGACAGCCATGAGTGAAGTAGCCCCAGAGGGGGCAGCATGGGCCCTAGGTAAAGGTAGGGGGGGTGAAATAGGATGCAAGGGGGTAGGATGGGCGGATGAGGGTGGTGGGAGTGCAGGAGAGGCAAGCCCAGGGGAGACAGAGAGGGGAGGAGGAGAAGGGGGTGCTGTGTGAAGTAAAAGACGGGCCTGGCACTGGGCCCCGACCCCCCCATCCCCCGCGTGAAGTCCCCGGTGGCCTGCGGCCTACTCACCATGTTAGAAGAAGGGCCGACCGCAGGCCCAACCTGTGCGCGCTCTGCCCGAGATCCGCTGGGGGTAGAGCGCACATCAGGTGCCCGGCGCGCCGGCTGGGCTGGATTAGCCGACCGTGATCTCGCGGCCGCCCTTCTGAGGGCCCGCGAGACGTTTGCTGTAGGTGCCGGACGGCCATCACCTCCCCGAGCAGCGGCCGCCAGACGGGCACTGCGCGACCGCCTCGGGGAGGAGGCGAGGGGCTGCTGCAACGATGTGCCGGCCGCGGCCGCGTGGGACCTGGCGCGCGGGCCGGCACTGGGGCTCCCACTCTCGTCCCCCACCCGGCCCTCGCGAGGGGAGGAAACAAGAGGGTGCCTGGTGTCAGCGCCGGCCGCGGCCGCGTGGGAACCGGCCCGCGGACCAGCAGCTGGATTCCTGCCACCGGCCCCCACCCGGCCAGGGGCTATAACGGCGCGAAATTCCATGGCTGCCGGGAGGGGGAGCAGCTACCATGGAGGCACCCTGCAGCCTTACCAGCTGGGCCTGCAGGTGCCTGCCACCGTCCTGGAGGGCCTCAGCCCTAAGGGCAGCAAGGATGCCATCAATGTCCATGCTCCTGGCCGTGAGGTAAGCAAAAGTAACCAAGGCTAGCACAGTGAGGAATAGGACTAGTTACCTTGCCGTTAAATTTAAGATGGCTGAGGTAACAGACAAAATGTCACCTATTTATATGACCCCACCCTACTCCTTAGCTAAATCACACACCCATACTTCCACCACACCCACCACACCCACACATGCCTCCTATCCGGCTAGCTTTCAGCCCGCCTCCTCTGGGCCTGACTGAGCTTTACATCATCTGTAACTGTTCCTGCAGCTCTGCTATCAAGCATAGAAAGCTGACTTGATTTCCTAGGACAGTAGTCAAATTTCCTGGTACTTATCTCTCACCAATTATCATACAGTGCTATTATGATTGATGATGGTTAAGTTCCTGTAACACTGAGCGTTAAAATGCTGAGAGTGAGACAGTGTAAGCTGAGAAGCAACTGAGCACAGTGTGTTGGTGTGGATCGCAGTCTTTAGTTGGATAGTTTATGGAGCTGGATAATTGAGGTTTTTTTTTCTCCAACATAACATAATATTTTTTTGTAATGAAACTGAGGTAGGTACCACCAACAGATAGGTAGTGTAGTGTGACAGTCACTTAGAGGTTGGGCAGGGTTGCCTGCTGAATTGCTTTCAGTTTTAGCTTTGTGTAAAACTGAGAATTGTTTGTTTTTTTTAAACTGTCTGCAGGGACATAACATTTAAAGGATCACTATAGGGTCAGGAACACAAACATGTATTCCTGACCCTATAGTGTTAACACCACCATCTAGTCCCCCTGCCTCCATAAATATAGTAAAGATCTTACTGTATTCAAGCCTGAAGCTGTAAATCTGC